AATTTAAGCTCACCTTGTGTGATAATTGTTGACAAAGGAGGAGAGAAATTCACAAAGATAGTAAGATAGGGGGAGCAAACAAATGAAATGACATTGTAAGGGAATCAAATTAAAACTTAAAGCACACAAGTAGGGGGAGCAAGCTCATAAACTTGTATGATTGCATTTGAATGTGCATTACATATGTTTGTTTGCATGGCACAAGTTATAAATTCCCTATTCATGCTTGTGTGGTGTATGCTAGATTGTAGAAAATGATTGATGAAATGAAAACTAGCATGCATAGGATAGCTAGACACTTGAATTGTTCTTACAAGTAGTACTAGAACCTTGCTTATAATTTTGATCTCATGAGGTATCTAGTTCTTTGTTGTTTTTCAAGTGGTATCTAGCAAATCATGGTGCTAAGGATGGTGTTCAAATGACAACTCTGATTGATATCATGCTTCAAAGGTCCATTTTTTACACCTTAGCGTCATTTGGTAGCTATTACTCTCCCAAACTTTCAATCCATGCATATGTGCAAGCTTTCAAATCCAAACTCTTAGCACATATGTAAGGGGAGCTAATGCTACCAATTTGGTTGATGAAACTTGTCCAGAATCTTTACACATGGTAATATGCTTGGGCAAGCAACATGAATCCAAAAAGATTTCATTGAATATCTTTGTAAATAGGTTGTCATCAATTATCAAAAAGGGAGAGATTGAAAGCCCTAGTTTGGTTTTGGATAATTGATGAAACCTAGGACTAACCTTCGATCTAAGTGTGTGAATTAGATAAGGTGGTCCAATCCAAGTGGTGAAGCTAGATGATGGTCATGGTGAAGGTGATGGCCACAAAAGAGATGATCAAGTGCTTCACATTTGGAAAAGAAGAAAGAGAAAAACAAAAATGGGCTCAAGGCAAAAGTATAATGATAGGAGCCATTTTTGGTTTGCACTCAAGACACCATAGAGGGTGTGAGTGATTTAGGATAGATAGCCGTACTATAAAGAGGGGAAATCTTTGGCTAAGTGGTTATCGAGTGCCACTAGGTGACATGATTCTTGCATATGCATTAGGGACCTAGTGTGCTAACAATTAACCCTTGAAAATGCTTTGTGAAAATGCTAACACACATGCACATTGGTGATACACTTGGTGGTTAGCACATGGAAGCAAGGGTGGTGAAGTTTCAGTTGAAAATGAGGATTTCAGGCATGACCGGATGCTGCAACTTGGATCGGACGCTAGTGAAACATGCGTCCAATGCGATTGAAACATTGACCGGATGCTAATGCAACATGCGACCAGACGCGCATGCGCAACTATTCATAGACAGGCAACACATGCGATTGAATGACCTGACGCTGGGTGAGTCCAGTCAGTAGTGACCAGACGCGTCCGGTCACCAAAATACCTCTCTAGAACCTCTCTGGATCGTATCGGACGCTAATGCAACAATGAATGGACGCTACTGCAACAATGAACGGACGCTACTACAACAATGACCGGACGCTACTGCAACAATGACCGGACGCTACAGCAACTTGCATCGCAGGCTATTGCAACAATGCACCTAACGCGTCCGGTCATCCCGACGAGCGAGTCCAGTTGTTGCGCAGGGAGCCCCCTTTTGTGCCTAACGGCTCTATTTAGTTTAGGGGTCTTTAAATAGACCATGGCCAACCTTGGGCTCCCTCTCTTGGCCATTTGACATCTTTGACATCCTTGTGAGCTGAGCATACTCCCTCCCACTCATCTCCCTTGCTTGATTGCTAATTCAAAGTGAGATTGAGTGATTCCAAATGCATTTGCTTGAGTGATTGCATCTAATGGCACTTGGGGATCATTGTGGCTGTGGATTTCTTGTTTCTCTTAGTGGTTGTTGCCACCTAGATGGCTTGGAGTAGTGGAGGAGCTTTGGCATCAGCTGGTGATTATTCGTGGCCGGCTTCGGTGATTGTGAGGGGTCTTGTACCTTCCCCGACGGAGAGCCGAAAGGTAACTCTAGTGGATTGCTTGTGTCATTGAGTTACCTCACTTGTGGGTAGGTTCTTGCGATGTCCAACTAAAATGGGGGTAAGTGTTGTTTATGATAAGAGTTATGAATAATAACACACATAAGAGAATTCCATGGTATATAAATGAGCAGTCTATCTAAATTGAGAGGACAACGATTGAGTTCAAGGTTCCTAAATACTTCTCTATTACTTCGGTTCTATTCTAGTTTAGACTAGAGGGTATAACTAAAGCATGGGTAGATATAGCGATCACACAGAATAGCACTTTGGGACATCGGAACACTAGCCACAGAAAGGGATGAGAAAGGGACTAGGAAGCTCCGACTATGGTCCTACAAACACCAACCCAAACGTGGTGGACTACATCGACCATTGGGGCTATCACCACCTGGGGCTACCACAACTATCTACGAGGTTGGATGCAATCTCAGGTAACTCATAGTCTAGACACCACGTCTACACTATTAATTACTACTCTAATCACATATAATAACTAGAGCACTCGATGCGAGCGAAGATCCTATGCTAAGATATGATTACTATACTAACCATACACATGAAAGGCATAAAAGTGAATAGAGAAGATAACTATATTAAAGCATAAGTCGTGCAAAGGTAAGATACAAAAATATACCTGACCTCCGAAGATTTCTCCAGAACCTGAGCATGGCTCAACTGTTCCTAACTCTCAACTAGAGCTATTCTACTTCTACATCTTGAGAGCTGGCTCTGATCCTGATGAGAAGGATATGAATTAGGGTTTCAGGATCTGGTGAGGGAGGGGGGTTAGGGGCTGCTATATATAGGCCAGAGGTAGAGTAGCGGCCAAGAAATCGAGGTGGAGTAATGGGCAAGGACTCTAGGAGTAGTAGGGGGCAAGGAATTTCCACATCATCGATCCGCGTCAACTCTCCCGACCACCATTGGATGAACCGACCTAAAACCACCTTAGAATCAATGGCGTAAATCGTAGGAAGCAGTACGAGGCGGCGGAGGGTGAGCGGGCTCCGTGATAGGCTGACCGGCCCACTTTCATGGCCGTTTGGCCTAAGCTTCGATGTGGTGTCTTCTGGAACCTTCTAGAGTTGTCTTTCGCATTTTTCGCGGGTTGAATCACTTGTTGTCGTCGGTTTGCTTGTTTGGAGTGTATAACAGTGGTCCCGAGAGCTATTTTCTAGATAAATCCTCCTGCATACAAATATTTACCAAAGCTCATGGAATTCATTAGTTTAAACCCCTATACCTATGTTTGGTGATGGAATTAAATATAAATGCAGGTTATGTTGATGGTTTATAATTGATGTTAACGACTGTCAACAGTGTGCTAACAATTAACCCTTGAAAATGCTTTGTGAAAATACTAACACACATGCACATTGGTGATACACTTGGTGGTTAGCACATGGAAGCAAGGGTGGTGAAGTTTGAGTTGAAAAGGAGGATTTCAGGCGTGACCGGACGCTGCAACTTTGATCGGACGCTAGTGAAACATGCGTCCGATGCTATTGAAACATTGACCAGACGCTAATGCAACATGCGACTAGATGTGCCTATGCAACTATTCATAGACAGGCAACATACGTGGTTGAATGAACTGACGCTGGTGAGTCCGGTCAGTAGTGACCGGACGTGTTCGGTCGCCAAAATACCTCTCTGAACCTCTCTGGATCATACCGGATGCTGATGCAACAATGATCGAATGCTACTGCAATGAGAGGACCATTGGGCACCAATGGTCAAATTCAAATAGTCTACGACCAGATGCTACTACAACAATGATCGGATGCTACTGCAACTTGCATCGCAGGCTATTGCAACAATGCACCCGACACGTCTGGTCATCTCGACCAGCGAGTCCGGTCGTTGCGCAGGGAGCCCCCTTTTGTGCCTAACGACTCTATTTTGTTTGGGGGTATTTAAATAGACCATGGCCGACCTTGGGGTCCCTTTCTTGGCCATTTGACATCTTTGACATCCTTGTGAGCAGAGCATACTCCCTCCCACTCATCTCCCTTGCTTGATTGATAATTCAAAGTGAGATTGAGTGATTCCATGTGCATTTGCTTGAGTGATTGCATCTAGTGGCACTTGGGGATCATTGTGGCTATGGATTTCTTGTTTCTCTTAGTGGTTGCTGCCACCTAGATGGCTTGGAGCAGCGGAGGAGCTTCGGCATGAGCTGGTGATTGTTTGTGGCCGGCTCCAGTGATTGTGAGGGGTCTTGTACCTTCCCCGGCGGAGAGCCAAAAGGTAACTCTAGTGGATCGCTCGTGTCATTGAGTTACCTCACTTGTGGGTAGGTTTTTGCGGTGTCTAATTGTGTGGACAAGGTTCGTGCAATACCTCTTAGCCCCTGAACCTCCAAGTGTTGGTCGACACAATTGGGACTAGCGTGCCGGCAAGCACGTGAACCTCGGGAGAAAAATTAGTTGTCTCTTGCCCTTTGGTATTCTCTCGGTGATTGAATTGGTATTTATCTTGTGATTGGTTCACTCCCCTACGTGGTTGTATAATCACCCTACTCACTCCTTTACTTTTCCACAAACTAGTTGTAGCAAGCTCTTTAGTGTAGCTAGAATTGAGAGCTTGCTTTGTAGCTTAAGTTCATCTAGTGGAGCTCTTTAGTGTAGCAAGTGTGAGAGCTCTTAGTGAGTAGTGACTTAGCCAATTATGTGCCTAGTGATCATAGTAACTAGAATTGTTGGATAGGTGGCTTGCAACCCTTGTAGAGCTAGAGCAAATTTGTATTTCGCTATCTGTCATACTAATCAAATTGCTCTAGTTGGTTTGTATATTTTTAAATAGGCTAGTCACCCCCCTCTAGCCATATTAGGACATTTCACCTATTTACCCCCTCTAGGCTAACCAGAGATCCTACAATAACCATATATACTTGAATGATATAAACGTTGAATTCCATCTTGCGTTTGACCTGAGTAAAAAATGCAATGCAATTAGTGCTTTTATTGAACAAATGTTCATCGCATATGTTTTTTAAAGTGATAATATATCTCTGGCGATAGTAGCTAATGATGTGCCAAAGTACACCCTACACCTTTCGAAGTCCCACAAAATATCCCTTTTTATTTGTATAGTTGAACGGGTAGATGAATTATCTGCAAAAACCTACAAAAGTGAATGCTATATTTAGTTAGTCAACGTCAAACAATTTAGTTTTATGTATGTAAGAAGACATATATATAGGCTAGTGACTCATTTATTTGAAAGAACAAGGATGGAAAATAGTGTACCTCATTTATTTGAAAGTATATACCATCCAATGAGTATATTTCTCTATTTGCGGTCTAGCAAGGTATCTATTATGAAATAAGTAGTTTCTAATTATTCATAGATCTTGAAATTGGAGTTTCCCAAGAGAAAGCTTGCATCGTTCTTGTAGTATTTTCAAAAGCATATGGTTATAAGTGGTAGATGAAATTAAAGCACCCCAACTCACCAGAATTGTAGCATTGACATTATAGTCATCATGACCACGAATTATAAAGAGGTATGGTTTGTAATCACCATGAACCCTTGGTTCAAACTAGTAGTCCAAGCAATTCATCATTATGAGTTTTTACTTCCGTAAATAGTAATGCACATTAAAAAATTAATTATAAAGAATGGAAGAATCAAGCTAACAACTACTAACCTTGTCCAAGATTTCATGCCCATCTAGGATTATGTACCTATAAAATATAAAAGTGGCATATCAGAAAATAGATATGCATATTTTGAGGTATTTTATAACATATTTCTGTTGACTAAATTGAAACAGAAATCCCGCCATACGCAAGGTACTCTGTTCGTAGATCATATCTCCTTTCAATTGGGATTGGGTTGTCACGTGGATGGATCAAAATCATATATGTTCCTTGTGATAGCCCTGTCGTTGCATGTTTAGTAGGTTTCATTGTCCGAATATCATACGCTACAGCATAATATGGAACATCATCTTCTATATCAATACTCTTCTTGATACTCTTGTTCATACTCTTCCTCACTTGATGATTCTGGGTATCATGTGGTGGAGTTGGTGGTATCTCAATAATAGGCTCGGTGCTATGTCTTTCTGTACTTTTTCCCATTTCAATTTGGCATTGATACATGTGTTCACGACTTAGTTTGACCATTACAACATTATGTATTTTTTTCATCCACGTTTGTTTTCCCTCTTTCATCCTTTAGAAGGGTGTGCCTGGCACTATTAAGAAACATCACATTGCATTATTTTCTTCATTAGAACAAAGTGTACTTAATGAACATTTATGAAAAGACAAACTAAAATGGTGTAGCTTTATGAATAAGTAGGATGACTAGAAAGCTTTACATTTAGTTTCGCTAGTTGAAACCTTTATATGTTTAGCTTCTCAAGCTAAAGAAAAATCATAAATGCAACAATATATTACCAATGATGTATTAAATAGATTGTGTATATTGAAGCTAACCTTTCACTTAGACTTTTGTAGTACTTGCAATCTTTAGTAAATGGGCAGGCACCACAATTCGGCCGGTCTTGGGCGCATATTGACTATCATAGCAAATAAACTACATCGTCAGTACCGAGAAAACAAAACGAACAAATCCATTTACATACCTTTAAAAAAATCAATTTACATTCCTTTCCAAATGTTATTAGTTGACAATGCAATTCATACCTATAATTGTCATCATGTTATATTATATATTATACTATTCCATCAACAAAATTCTAGGAAAGCAGCTAAATTAACGGTTCAAACTAGAAAACTTCCACTTTGTGTGAACGAATCTTGCACAATAAGGGATCAAGACGCTTCTGAATTTTAGCCATGACAGGATTTCTTTAAATGGACAGAAGATGTTGATGAGAAATATTAAAGTTCGAGTATATAAATTTGCACGACAAAAAACTAAAAGATGATCATACTTGTGTACCATATGGAACTCTATAGAATCACCTAAAGGTTGAAGTGGGACCCATCCTAGCCTTGTCACTAGGCGAGCTACAATTACATCAACCTAAAATAAGAAGAATTTGTCATAATTTCAAAGTGGTAGATAGCTTTCTGGAAATCCTCTGTCTCTGCGATGGGAGACGGATGCAGGCGACACTTTTATCTCATATCCCTATTATACTTTGTAGGTACTCCCTGAATGTATAAAAACAAAATGTGAATACTTATTCATTCTTTGCTTATTTTTTTATTTGCATAGTATAAAAGTATATTATCAATTCACTAAAATAAATATTTTATGGCCGCTACTCTTTAAAATCCCTTAAAGAGTCACATTTTGTAACACCCCGGGTGTTAATCGCAAGTTAAGCAGTGGATTTGGACTTAAGTAAACTATGTCAAGCAATGATCATGATCTCTAGTTCATAATTTTAAAGTGACGATGAAGGTGTTGTGGTCCAATCTATGAAATTGAGTCCTCTATCTTACTTTGCCTTTGCACAAGGGATGTATCTAAGCCACTCGAGGTCAATGCTTCCTTGGTCTCTCTTGATCCGAGTGAGTAAAAGCTGTAGAAAGTATACAAGATCAGATAAATATACACTTTATGTTCATTTAATGGACTAGAGAATTAGTTTCAACGTCAACAAACAAATTGGAATGTAAGGAACGAGTACTACTTTGTAAAAAGATTGTGCTTTCATAAGGACAATGCAAAAGAGTTGTGAAATTAATACAAAGAATCAAGAAATTGGTATTTTAACTAATAATTGTTATGCTTGTAAAACAAATCAAATATAAAATCTCTAGATTGAAATGTCTCCATGATTTCTTGGATGCACCTTTCCATAGTTTATTTTGTAAAAAAAATTATTATCTAGTTAGAAATCTTGTTATACATGTTAGAAATACTAGCATTCAAAGCAAAGGTGCTAGATAAAAATCAGGTGTCATAAAAAGAGAAGACATGCATTGGAATTTTAATTGGTACGGTTGTGACTATGTACCAGTATTCTGAATGTCATCTGGCTTTGAGTTCCACGGTCCTTGATGCATTCTTCAATTTCACCGAACGATGCATGCAGTAGAGCTTCCCAATCAATTGTTTCACTTGTTTCTTCCTTCCTATACCCATTTTTGTAGGCTTCCTCAAGGAGATATTTCCAACGAGAGGTATCTTTTTCTAAGAAAGATTCAATGTCCTCTGAAATTTTCTTAACCGTCGTCGGAAATTTGAGCCTTTCCCGCAACACTTTCTTTATACGCTTTGTCCAATTCCCGTCTTGTTCTAAGCAATGTAAGGAACTCGTTTATGTCCTTATCATCACACTGTTTAGACACTCCCAAATCACGCCCATCTGTTATCAAAGTTACATTTGTACTTTGGGCAACATTGCTTTCATTCTTCGCAAAGGAGAACTTCGCAGTTATGTTCATAAAAGCATTGTTGAAAAATCCAAAATGCTAGTTATAGCCAGGATGTAACACTCAAAAATTTGCATTTGTTCAAAATAGTTAAATTTGATTTATTTGAGCAATTATGTGAGCATTCAAATGTAGGAAATAATATTTTTGGTGAAAGTAAAATCAATAATAAGGAATAGATACAAGTTGATGCATACATGCTGCTGCACCTTTATTTTTGCAATGATTGGTTTTGATCAAATTTGAATTTGGATACAAAATCAATTTGAAAATGGTTTGCTAAAACTTTAGAAAATAAAAAGAAAAGGAATTTCTTTCTTTTCTCCCTCCTTTCCTCATTTTTGGCCGCAGGCCATTTCCCCGCCGGCCCGCTCGTTTTTCCTCCTTCCCCCCTTCTCCCGTTTTCTTCCTGGGCCGGCCCAACCGGGCGAGCTGGCTACTGCTTCGCGCGGCCCAGCATCGCACGCCCAACCGTTGCCGCGCCCCTCTCTCTCCCTGCAGCTGACGGCTCGGGCCCACGTGTCGGCACCGTCCCCAACCTCCAGCACCGCGCGCGTCAAGCCGCAAACCGTCGCTCCGAAGAACGCCGAGATCCGCCGAGCTCGGAAAACTCCATCCCCGAGCCACCTTCGTCTGCGTTTGTCACCGCGGTGAGCTTCGTAACCTTCCCCTCCTTCTCCCCATGCATTTACTTTCGCAAATCATGGCCTCTAGGGCTCTAGCCACGTACGCCCGAGAGCTCCGCATCGCCGGCCATGGCGACCGCCGCTTCGGCCCTCTCCTCCGGCCGCCTTCTTGGCCTGGCCGAGGTCTTATGAACCCCCGCTATCCCCCGGTGCTCTCGGATGCGCAAACCGTGGCCCGTAGGCCGAGTTCCCCGCTCGCCGGACGTGTTCCTTGCCACCGGCCATGGCTGAGCCGCCGCGGCTGCCACTGTTCCAGCCGCTGCCTTCTCTCTCTCCTCCCCCAGATCTAATCCGAGCCGCCCGCTGCTTGATCAACGGCCACCGAAGGCCGATACCCCTTCGCGGGACAAATTGCTAAAGAGACCCCCTGATTTCGCCTAATCAAACCTGCAGTCCTCGGCCGTTTTGATTAAATCCAGATTTAATTTTATTTAAATTCGAAAATAGTTCATTCTATTTACAGAAATGCCACTTCAATGTTTTGCTCATAAAATCGTCGTTTTAGATCCGAATCGACCCGTTCAAATTGCGTTAGTTTCGTAATTTCATGATCTGTACCACTGTTAACCATGTTTGCAACTTTTAAATTTCATGGTTAGATTTAATTAAATAAATTGCTATAGGAAACCCCGTTTAATTTATAACTTTCGCGTTTTAGCTTCGATTTTCGTGAACTTCACGTTGACGTGATCGTAGCGAGACATAGAATCTTTTCATAAACATTTTAATTTGTTTTCTATATTACTGGTGTACTATTCTAACTACAGAATTGTTTGCTTTGCATGAATGTTCCTGAAATGTTGTATGTTGCCGTGTTGGTCGCGTTTAGACGGTGAGGAGAACGTTGGTGACCAAGAGTTCTTTAACGGCCAGCAAGACCAGCAGGAGTTTGCTAACCAAGGCAAGTATAGCATGGGATCTACCTTGATGCCTATTCACCATTTATTAATTACTCATTTGCATGTGTCTAATTTTGATACCCGTAAGGACATCCTAGTGATTGATTATCCTGTTCCTTGTCTCCTATGGGGTTTATGCATATGGGTAGTTTGCTAGCGCTCAATGTAACTATACGTGATTTACATAATGAATAACGATTCTACGGAACGAAAAGGTAAAATTGGCTTTTAAACAACTGAATTATAGGGCGAAGGAGCGAATGACTTTCGATCATGATGTTCTCGGCCCTCCATAAGAACTTATCTGTCGGCAAAAGCTGGGACTGAAGTGCAACCGTGAGGGTCATATGGCTCTGACTTTAGCACAGTAATAGGACCTTTTCTAGCTTGTTAGAGGTTATCTTTATGGCGCAAAAGGGGCTTGTCACGTTGGGTATAGGACTGCCTCTGTTCCTATGTGTATAGCCGCAATGGATATGTGTCATAGAAAAGGGGGTTCCTACATCTGCCTGCCAAGAAAACCTAGCGGCCCTAACTTGTTAGAGAAACATATGAAATGACTTCATAGTGTACCCTGCCCGCTCACCTTGGCAGTGATATGTGAGTAATTAACCCGGACATATGGGAATTACGACTCGCGGTGAATGTGCACAACCTCTGCAGAGGGTTATAAACTGTTATAACAGTCGTGCTCACGGTCACGAGCGGCCCGAAAAAGTCACAGAATAATTGGTTACTTATTGTTGTTTATTCATGATGTTATACGATGATAATATGATCCAAATGATTCTGATATCTGATTATGTGGGTTTTAAAGGGAGCTTAAGCATAACTTGATAATACTTGATAATAAAATCTTGACTTACTAAAAGTGCTAATTGCAGTAAACCAATGTCATTCTTTTGAGCTTTCATAACCCCATGTTATCTTGTTAAGTACGGAAAGTACTTACGCTTGTTTACTTTCTATATTTGAATAAAAATACCGGATGGGTAACATATGTCAACGAGTATGAGGAGTTTCCTAAGGACTATTAGGCTTGTGGTCAACCAGTTGACCGTCCCTGTGTTGGAGCTTCCACAAGAGAGCTATCTTTTTATTTTCCGCTGTGTTGTGTAAGACTATGTTATGTTATTAACCGTGATGTAAGATACACCGTGATGATACTTTTTATAATTTGTCAGCTTATGTGTGTGACTGATCTCTAGACACACATGAGTTTAGTGCATTTAATTTTATTCTTAAAATTGGGTGTGACATAGGATCATCCAAACAATTAATTTTGAAACTGTATTAAAAATGAATACATGTGACTCCAGCCTACCTTGAGTGAACGTCCGTGACATTTTGTGTTAGGAACGTGCCGACCACGTTTGTAAGTACGGATCCTTTCCAATTACAAAACTCCCTTTTGCCTATATGTACACGAAAATATATCAGGATTTCCTTTGTGTTAACTTAAACAAATGAACACACGAAAAATATATCTTACGGCTTCCTTCATGTTAACTAAAAAAACACATGAATAATGCATGACATGAACACAGGAATTATAATGAATTAATGAAAGAATGTTACCGATAATTGCGCGCGCAGGCCCCATGAACCTATCCACCAAGACCTGCAAACGGTGGCGCTCCTCTTCCAGCTCAGGGCCCTCTGGGACGCCGTCCAGGTCGTCGCCCAAGCACGTCTCGTACGATTGCACCAGCTCGTTGTACGCCGCCTCTATCGCAGGGGTGATGCGCACCAGCTGCCGCAGCGTCTTCGCGTGGGAAGCACCACGGACTCGGACTCCCAGTGCGGCACGTACATCAGCTCCGTTCCAGCGGACTCGTTGCGAACAGCGAGCACCATGGCGATGGGGTCATCATCATCGGCAATGATGGCGTCTTCATCTTCATCAGTAGTGGCAGCGGCCCGCTGCTTGCTCTTGTAAGGCTTCAGGACAAGTTTGGCCACCCGTCTTGTCAGTATTGCCTTCTTCTTCTTGCCCTTGGTGGTGCCCTGCCCATCTGGCGTGGAGGTGGTGGAGGTGTCGATGACAGCGAGGGGTAGCAGCAGGGTGTTTTGCTTGGCGAGGGACCTCAGGTTCTCCATCAGCTGTGCTCTGTAGGAACACAGATTGATCTTCGGCGATGCTGACGTACAGGGTGGCTTCTTGACGTCGTCACCCAAGGTGAGTTTGGCAAGGGATCTCAGGTTGTCCATGAGTAGGGGCGGAAATGGATGTCCAGTTATCCGTGTTGTCCGAATTCATATATCCGGTAAAACTTAAATATGGATATCCGTATTTGCATCCGTTTATGATATGATGCTGAAATGGATGTATCCAAATCCGTTTCTTGCAGCTTTTCTCTATCCAATCCTAGATCTGCTTCAAAAAATTCTGTATTCGTATTTATGAGGATTATGCACATGATGAAACTATTAAAAGCTACCTCTATGACAAATGATTAATGATGTATTAAGCTTAATACTATCTTTATTTAGTTTTAATCTATATATATTTGTTGTTATAAATTATATTTCAATGCATTATTTTGTTATTTTATTGTTGAATGATATGTTTACATACTTTAATTTACTAATTTACTTGTAAATGTTTTTTATATATGATTGAAATAATTATTTATTTATAGATTTCCATTTTTTATATATTTAACAATTAAAATATTTAGTTGATAAATACGATGTGCTATGTGTGTTATATACTCTTACTTTAAATTTTACTCATATAATGATATTGTTCTTCCAAAACTACCGAGAAATGAAAGATACTTGATATTAATTAAATTGAGTAGATATCCAAATGCGAATTTGAATCCGACTTACTCTTTTTGTATTCGTATCTGAGAATATTTGAATCTCTATTCGCATCGAGCAAAAAAATCAATATCCAAAATCTATTCGCATCTGTTTCATTTCCACCCCTATCCATGAGCGTGGCCCTGCTGAAGCAGTCGAGCGATGTACCACTGCCGACCTTGGTGTTGTCCAGGTTGAGCCTGCAGCGCACCAGCAGGGGGTTTCCGCCGACGCCGCCATCACTAGCTTCCTCCTCCAGGTTGAGTCTACGACGCATGGGGTTTTTGACGGCGCCATCACCGGTTTCCGTCTTCTTCTTCTTCCTCACCTTGTGTAGCGACGCTTTCCTAGCGGTCAGTGGTGGCTTTGGCGTTCTGACCTATAGTGGGTCAAGAATAAGGGTGAAAACGGTACGGATATTTTCCGACCGTATTCGAGACCTAATCCGTTTAGAGAGGTTTAAATCTATCCGTATCCGAGTCCGGATATTCAACATCCGATACCGTATCCGAATACTCAAATCGTATATTTATGATGTAGATCGTATTCTGTCCGGCTTGGTTGACACTATCTGTATTTGAATTTGAATCCGGACAGAAATATGAAAACAAATATAGTATTAGTGATATCCGTCCGTATCCAATTTGTTTTAATCCCTAGTCAAGAAGCTTGAATCTGAGCTTACCCTTTTGGGAACGCTTCTTCTTCTGTGTGGATTTTGGTAAGACCTCCGCTGCCATGGTGGGAGGGGTTGAAGGTGTAGCCGATTCGATGGACGTCACTGCCATGCTTGGAGAGGTCGAACAAGAGCCTACCGGCTAGGTACCGGGTGAACAGAATCTACCTGAGGGTTACAAGTCGATGGTTTGGGGCAATGCAGCGTCCGCAGGTAGCGCACGGGCTCGGCGCCGTCCAGGAATCAGTAGGCGCCGCTGCGTCGATGATTTCCTCCCCCCACCAGCATGGTCGTGTGGAGGGTTCAGTTGAGGCATTGTTGCTTGTAGCACCCGGTTTTAAAAACAAAACCAGATACACACCATATGTGAGCCCAGGAAGTCAAATATCACATATAGCTACAAATAAGGGTAATATCAAAAGACAATGCTTATTACATAGCGTGTTAGTTTAAAGAAGACAACCTTAGAGTATAAACAGCGGAAAGACAACTCCGATCTTCAGGTGAAAACTTCAATACACAGGGACAACTGACTGGTTGACCACAAGCCTAATTCCTCCAAACTCTAGCAATCTGGTTCCCATCCGGGATTTTCATCCAAATATTTAAAAAGTAAAGCAAGCGTAAGTACGTGTCGTACTCAACAAATATATCATGGGGTTCATGAGGCTCAAAAGGCTGACACTGGTTTAACTGCGATTAGCTTTTAATTGTTATAATTTTAGCAATTGGGTGGCAACAAGTTTATCTATAAGCCCATAAACATATGATCAGGTAAACATGAATAATAAACAACATAAACAGTAATCATTACTGAGCATTTTTATCATTAGTATCATCAGTGTTCATCATCTATTCCGTAAGGGTTCCAAGGCCGCTCGTGACCGTGAGTACGACTGATATACCAGTTTTACATTATGCAGAGGTTGTACACTTTCACTGTGAGTCGTGATTTACCCTTTCGCCCGAGGTCGCGAGCCTCTTGACCCATTGCCAAGGAAGGTCGGTAGGGTTCACTATTAAGCCTTTCAAAGGTTCGTCTAACAAGTTAGGGCCGCTAAGGTTTTCCCATCAGTAAGCATGAACCCCCCTCCAAGGAGTGACTAACAAAATACCAAGAAACCAAAGTGCACCCTATTGGCAGGCTGAGATCATACAAACCGGAGCTCCTCTTGCACCATAAAGGTAACCACTAACAAGCTAGAAAAGGTCCTCATACTGAGCTAAAGCCAGAGCCATATAGCCCTCACAGCTGTAGTGTAAGTCCCAAATGATCACTTACAGATAAGTCCTTAGGAAGAGAAATCTAGAGCACCATAAAACAGCCCAATGCTCTAGCCCCCTTGTTCCATGTTGCTAAAAAGCATCTTTTAATGTTTATTGCATATATCATTAGTCAAGTTACAAGATCATGTTCTTTAATTAAGCACTAGCATCATACTACCCAATGCAATAATTCAAAGGTGTCAAGGAACAAGGTACAAAGTACTAGGAAATCCTAAGTGGTAGTCAAGGTAGACACATGCAGTATGAATTAAATGATTAAATGTGTATAGGACAAGGAAGAACCCATGCTATACTTGCCTTAAACTTAGATCCTTCTTCAAGTCCAAAACTTCAAAGATCTGTTTCTTGATTCACCACGTATAACTCACCGACTGAACAAGATCATAAAGTACCACATAAGCATCCATGCAATCATACACGAAGCAAACAATAAATCTAAATTAGAACAATACACCAATCATAGAAAAATAAGTAAAAGAGTTTGAAACACGATCCTACGCATCGCTACGAACACACAGTCGCAAGAAGCACTCTAATCGGAGCTACGGTGAAAAAGATACATCTACGTGGAAAAGAAAACTATATGCTTCATTTATTTTAACTATATAAATTCATATATATAAGATATTTTATAAACAATATAAATTGAATCAAGTCAAATTTAGATTTGAATTATAAAACTAAAGTAAAACAAACCATATTTTATTTATAAAATCCAGTAGCATAATTATTAATCAAAATATGATTTAAACCATAAAATTTTAGAAATAGTAATATGGTAAACATTGTTACTAACACATAGATCTCGTTGCAATGAATCTAGCACAACTTGAACGAGTCAATTCGGAGCTAAAACGCAAAAGATATGAAATAAACAAGATTTTATTTGTTAAAATAATAGATTAAATCTAATCTCGAATTTTCAAAGTTGAAAACATACTTAACAGTAGTATGAACATGTAGATCATGAAATTATGAACCTAACGTAAGTTGAACGGATCAAATCGGAGTTAAAACAGAGAGGTTTGGGCTAAAATAAGATTAGTGGCAAAACTGTAAATAGATGAAAACGTATTTTATATCTAATCCGAAAGAAACTACGTTTTCAAAAGAAGAAAACATATTGCGGGAATACGTCATGAACTGTGGGTTAATTTGCCTAAAACGAGGGGCTCTTCAATCAAAATACTAGCGAAAGGGTATCTTCTAATCTGGGCCATAGATCTCCAGATGGACGGCTCAGGATGATCGTAAATATATATGTATTTCTATTGTATTTCTAGATTTGTTTTTATAAAGAAAAACGGCCACAAAACGTATACATGATGTCATGTGATGTCATCAAGCTAGCTAGCAACTTGAATCAGGACAACGCATGCACGGCTCACGGCCGGTGGCGCCATGTACGGCGGCGACCGGAGCAACAGAGATCGAAATGGAGAGAAAGAGAGTATTGGGCTGCAATGTTCGGCTGCGATGGGCTAAAGACAGAGAACGAGAAGGAACAAGGAAATTACTCCGGCAGCTTCTTCACCTCTACGTGGAGCTCGGCAACAGGTCGTGGACATCTGCGAGAACCACTAGCGCGGCTGCAGTGGCTGCACTCCAAGCTCGGCGAGATCCAAAACGAGTGGGAGAGCTAATTAGGGCAAGGCGGCAATGCGTAGATGGGAAAAGGAGATAGGGCGGCGCGTGGCACCTAGGCTCCGTTTTATGGGGCGCTTTGCATGGGGCGCACGACAAGCGAGCGAGGCGGGGCGGCGTGAGACTCTCTGCGGCTGGAGTCCAGCGCGGCGACGGAAGGTAGGAGAAAGGTCTGACGGACGGGGCCCACCTATCAGCAAAAGAGACGGAGAAAGGAGGAATGCGGCGTCGGCCTGGTTGGGCCAGCTGGCTTGCTGCTGGGCCGCAGAAGCGGAGGCTGAGCGGGGAAACGGGGAGCAGGAAGCGGGCCGCGCGGTTAGAGAGAGCTGGGCCACGAGATCGGGAGGAAGAGAGCTGGGCCGTTCGGCCAGAAGAGAAGGGGAAACGTTTTTTTTTTCATTTTCAAATCTTTTTTTCCATTTTGTTTTCAAATTCAAATCCAAATACAAACCAATTCAAATTCGTATATGATTTAAAATACACTTTTTAATTCTAGTAAAAATGAGAAATTTTATTAAGTTTTCCAAGAATAAATTTTACAACCCGTTGAACTCTTTTATTTTCAGATTTTCTTTTCCATTATTTTCTTTTACTTCAAAGCCATTTTTAATTTCATTTGTAAAAGCAATTTAAACCATTTTAAATTTTTCGTCAAAATCACTCAACCAAATAAATCAAATTCAAGGGCATGTTTGCTCAAACATGTTGCTACCTTATGATAAAATTTAATTTAATGAAAATTTTTATTTTCCTATATTTCATGAGCACAAAAATACAGAATTAAATCATTTTAATCCTATTTTCAAAAGAGGCAAATTTTGTGGTGTTATGGTTCGCTTGGGGAGGAGCGGAGGGCGGTTCGTGCGGTGCCCTTGTTCCGGGATTAGAGAATCGAGAGTGATGCTGATTTGAATCCGGTTCTACGGTATACCACGTCAATCTCTTTCTGTACCCTCTCCAGAAAACCATCGACTCGATTGACGTCCGCAGGTAGGGCACAGCGTCAATCTCTTGCGGCAATGAAAACGGTCTCGGAAAGTTGGGTTTGACTCGATTGCGCTCACGCCCTCTCCTTTCTGTACCCACGTCAATATCTTTGTTGTCTGCGCCCGTGGGCCCACGCGCAGCATGTTTTTTTGGCACAGCGAAGGTCAGTAGTCCGATTCTGAGACGTTACTATGCAAACGCCATCATATCGTAGTGGCCATTGTCTCATGTCAAGGGAACACAGGAACTAGCAGTCCTGGTCCTGAGTTTTCTAGGACCTAGAGCAAAATCGAGACCCTTATTATAAGTACCATATCAATAATACTCATATTTATATAAAAATGTTACCAATAAATACATGAAATATATACAAAAACATTTTTATAAACTAATTTATTATGCATTGTGGGAGGGGTTGAAGGTGTAGCCGATGCGATGAACGTCATTGCCATGCTTGGAGAGGTCGAACAAGAGCCTATCGGCTAGGTACCGGGCAAACATAATCTACCTGAGGGTTATGAGTCGATGGTTTGCGGCAATGCGACGTCCGTAGGTAGGGTAGGGGCTCGGCGCCGTCTAGGAATCAGTACATGCCGCTGCGTCGATCGAATCTACCATGTTCGGCGGCAGCGTTGGCAGCCACGCTCTCGTGCCACGGCCGGCGGCTTCGTTTGACATGAGAGGAGGGTCTGGCCGTCCTACT